CTGAACTATTTAGAAAGTTACCCACCCCTGGTTTGCCCCTAATCAGGAGAACTGGTTGGTAACTTTCTAAATAGTTCAGAGAACCGGTTGTTGGAAGAAATCTCCTTTTGTTTTTTTCCACTTTACAGGGCTAATCCTGTAAGGAAGGCAGGAAGGAAACATTCTGGTGTTGTTTCTAGCCAAATCTTTATTGACCTGCTTACAGAAACTGCCTCCGGTTAGCCCTTATTACATTAAGGTGAAACGTCCATCGATGTGAGTGACCTTGAGTTGGCCACGCCCACCCAGTCACATGACCACCGAGCCCCACCTACCCAAGATGGTCATTAGGGCAGAGAACCGGTTGTTAAATTATTTGAATCCCACCACTGATCTAAATATGGAACTGATGCCGCCTGAAAATAAAATTATCGAGGGAACCTTTTGACAGAACCAACATATTCTCCGTTGGACGATTTAACGATTTATTCCTTGCTCCAGCTTTCTGTGTCCGGGTTGGTTTTGCTAACTGTGAAATCAGGAGAGTGGGGGAAAAAAATGCGTACAAAGTTGTGATTTCTTGACCATTTTCTTGTTAAGGGATTGTGGGGGGTTTTTTTGTGCACAGGTGTGCCTCTCTCTTTGTGTGCCTATCACACCTCTAGGGTGGAAAACCACCGCAACAATTTATCCACAAAGAATTTTATTTTATTTATTCCAATTTTCGTTTAGGAAGCTGTTTCTTTTTTTTACGTGCACACCTACTTCATATAAACCGTGTTTCTCCCGAAAATAGGACTGGGTTTTATATTAATTTTTTTTCCTCCAAAAGATGCATTAGGGGTTGTTTTTCTGGTTAGGTCTTATTTGGGGGGAATACCGGATTAAATGCATCCATTTGGCTGACGATCTTAAGTGGGGCTTATTCTTGGAGGAGGGCTTGTATTGTGAGCATCCTGAAAAATCTCATTAGGGTTTGTTTTCCAGTTAGGGAAACATCTGCTCCAATGGGCAGTATGATGGCTTGGACCAAGCCATGATTTGGTAGATTACACAGCCGATATGCAGGATGGCAGTCCGAGCTTCCTATCTAGGGCAGAATAGAGTGTCATCCGTAGGCATGTCAGAAATCATCCTAGCAGTTCACCCCAAAGATCTCTTGAGGCAGGCATTCCTTTGGACGAGTCTCCCCCTAAACTGGTCTTGAACGAGGAGGCTCCATTCCCAGGCACCAAGTCCATCCGTACAGAGAGTCCTCAGCGTAAGACCACCGTTGAG